AGGGAGCCCGATGCGGGACTCGATCCCAGGACCCAGGGATCATGACCTGAGCCGAAGGCAGACGCTTAACGACTGAGCCACCCAGGCACCCGAATTCAAGATCTCTTGTAGTGGTGTGATCACATACACACATGCACACTCACACGTCTGGGTGGTTGGGTGGAAGGCAGTCTTTGCCACTTCCCTAATTTGCCACAGCTTTTTCCTGAAAGCAGAGATCACTGAGCAGCCTCAAGTTCCCCGCCCACTTCGTAATTAATCAGTGGTGGCCCCCATCAGACTGTCTGGTTGAGATAAAATGGCCCTTGCACTGAGTTAACGCAAGGCTGAATTATTTATCACTACACTCCCCTGGCTATTTAAGTGATGGACAGCAAGTGACCTTGCTTGTCTCTGCTGGAGCTGAGGTGCTGGAGGAAATCTCAACAGTGTCCAAGTTCCCCCTTGTTCTCGAACAGGGTGGGGGAGGGAGAGGAAGAGTGCTGGGAGGGAAACCACTTCTGAGCACCTACTCTGTGCCAACATGTGGAGGTCGCTTGTATCCAGTCTCAGTCTCAGGGGACCATTGTGGAACCCCAGGAGTGAGCATGTTATCCCCATTTTACCAAGAGGGAGGTTCTTTTTTTTTTTTTTAAGATTTATTTGTTTATTTTAGAGAGAGAGAGAGTAGGGGGAGGGACAGAGGGAGAGGGAGAGAGTCTTAAGCAGACTCCACACTGAGCGCAGAGCCCGAGGTGGGGCTCGATCTCACAACCCTGAGGTCATGACCTGAGCCAAAATCAAGAATTGGATGCTTAACCAACTGCACCACCCAGGCGCCCCTCGAGAGGGAGGTTCCAAGACCGGGAGTGAGAAGTGACTTATCCAGAATCACAGAAAGAGGGGAGTTGGGATTTGAACCCAGCTCTGCCTGGTCCAATCCAGAGTTCTGCCAGCCCACCTCCCGGGCTGCCTTGGGACATAGATGTTTATTTGACAAATGCCATTGAGCCCGTGCTATGTGCTGGGCCATGAGCAGAGGCTAGGGAGTGCTTAGTTTTCCTTTTCAGTGAAAAGGATGATAACAGTGCCTGCTTGAAGGGAGGATTGAGAGAGGAAGCTTGGCCACCTCCTTGGTGCCGAGCTCTCAGTAGCTAAAGAAAAAAACCAAAATTTGTGTCACCATCATCGATGCTCTGGTGCACTTGTTTACTACCTTCTTCCGAATGTTTTCTTCTGTGATGAAGATCGTGCAGTTTTTAAAATCCACGTTTTAATTTGACCTAATATGGTGTCATGAGCTTTTCTCCTGGTCATTGCAGATCACTATAAAGATACTCATTTTTTTTTTTTTAAAGATTTTATTTATTTATTTGACAGGGGGAGAGACAGTGAGAGAGGGAACACAAGCAGGGGGAGTGGGAGAGGGAGAAGCAGGCTCCACGCAGAGCAGGGAGCCCGATGCGGGACTCGATCCCAGGACCCTGGGATCATGACCTGAGCCGAAGGCAGTCGCTTAACCGACTGAGCCACCCA